GCTACAAAGTGAGCTCAAGGCCAGCCTGAACTGCAGAGCAAGACCCTGTCTCAAAAAGGACCAAATTGTGCAGCCATCACCACTCTCCATTTCCGGAACTTCCCCCACCATCTCAAACAAAAACTCTACCCGTTACATAAGAAAGCTTCATTTCCCTTTTTCCCTAGCTCGCTCTCTCTTTTTGTTTTTCTTTGATGGGAGGCTCTTTTTGAGACAGGATCTCACTATGCAATTCAGGTTGGCCTTAACTCACTTTGTAGCCCAAACTGGTCTCAAACTTAGAACAATCCTCCTGCCTCAGCCTCCCAAGTGCTGGGGTTACAGGCATGTGCTACCACACCCGGCCTCCCCTAGGTCTTGGTACCTCTCTTCTGCTTTCTGTCTATGACTGAATGTCCTTCCTACATGTAGAATCGTATAATACTTTTCCTTTTATGTGTGGCTTATTTCATTTAGCATAGCATTTTCGAGGTTCATCCACGCTGTAGCCCTGTCAGTAGTTCATGCTTCACTACTGAGTAGTTATCATTGTAGGATACACCGGTGTGTCCATCCACCCACCTGTGCGTGGGTTTCTGTGTTGTCACAAGTAATGCTGCTACAAACACTGGTGTGCAAGTATCTGTTTAAGTCCCTGCTTTTCACTCTTCTGGGTCGATGCCTGGATAACCCAGCCATTCTATGTTGAACTTTTTAAAAACTTGCCATAAAAGTTTGAAGTTGTCAGAATTTCAAAAACTTTTTAGCAAATCTATCCATTTTTGTCAACAAGTGTATCAAGTGGCCTCCATGCACTGGTGTCATGCCAGAACAGCTGTCCTTACGTTCTCCACAGAAACAGGCTCCGTACCGTGGGTGCCACCTAGGCATCCTCCTGGGGGCGGAATATCGAAGGCACGCGCGTGCCTGGAAGGGTGGCTGTCTTCACACACACTCGCTGCTTCGTTCTTGCTGACAGGCAGATTTTCTGCTCGGGGATGTTCAGGGCTAGGTGCCTGGTTACTGACTGAAAGAGGACAGTCCTGGGTCTGAGTACTGACTCGGCTTTCATTGTAGTGTGATAAAGGAGAAGCGCGACGCCTACGTGAGCCGCCTGAACACCATCTATCAAAACAACCTCACTAAGGTGCGTACACTGGGTCTGGAAGTGGGGAGGGAGCTGCTCTCCTGGAGTAGGCAGCCAGGTTTGGGCAGATGAAAATACACCTTTTTGATATATCTTGAAATACCGTCATGTTTCTGTTACTTCTCCCCCACCTGACCCCCGGTACTGGGAATCGAACTCACTACCTTGTGCTTGCCAGGCAGGCGCTGTGCCGCTGAACTAAATCCCCAACCCCCTGTTACTTCCTTTTGATTAATGACTTTGAAGTTGACCTTCCTTCGGCCACGTGTGCCATCTCTTTTCCAAGGAGCATGGGTGTTGTGGGCCTCGGTTCATAGCCAGTGTCCCCTACAGACTCGTCTCAAGTGGGTTTCGTCCTCTGCTTAGGTTCAGAAATCAAGCAGGGCAAGCTTTAACATAGCAGTCTGGGATGTACTAATTAAAATCAGCAGTGCTGTCAGGCTGAAAACCTGCCATTTCCATTTGCTCAGAACAGTCTTGTCCTTGATGGCCAGATCTACTCAGGAGGCCAAGTTAGGATTCAGAAGTCTAATGCATGAAATCTGATCAAGAAAATCAGGCCAAGGTGTATTTGCCTGTAGCAAATCTGTGATACCCTTTGCTCTCCTGAGGCCTTTTCCAGCTGCATGCTTGGATGCCATGCTTTTTCCACCCAGGGAAGCGTTAGTGGCCGTGGCAGATTGTATACCCCCAGCCTCCTCCTCCTTCACAGGCATGCGTGCGTGTGTGCGTGTATGCGTGTATACAGACCACCCTTCTTTTTCTCCATGATCTCCCTTCATAGTTTCCACGTAGCTTGGGTTATGTTTAGATGATAGTAGATTCTTAATATTTGGCACACCCTTATCTCATTAATAGCTTGTTTGTAAATCAAACTTTTAGGGTGGATTGCTTCTACTGATGGCCAACCTCAGATACTTTATATTGATTTTTCTCACTCCTTGGATTTATTTGTTGGGAGATATTTGCTATCCTTAAACCCCAATGGGGGTGGGCTGAGGAAATACTTAAGGGTCTATAGTTCTGTTGGCACATGGATACAAGAGATTTTTAAGGCTACAGGACTAGTGTTATAGAAATACATTTGATGTACTAAGGCCATCAGATGTCTTACATGGAGCTAGTAAAATACTTTTATAAAAGAGATGGGAGCCGTGCATGGTGGTGGGCGCCTATAGTCCCAGCACTTAGGAGGCTGAGGCCAAGAGCATCACTGTGAGTTCAGTGCTAGCCTGGGCTGGGCTACGTAGTGAGTTCAAGGCCAGCTGGAACTACATGATGAGACTTCATCTCGAAACAGACAAAGATGGGAAAAATAGCCAGGTGTGATGACACGTCCCTGTACTTGTGGCCTTCCTTGAGGGTCAGGCAGGGCGATTGCAAGTTTGAGCCCGACTTGGACAATTTAGCAACTTAGTCCCACTATGCCTGTCACGGTAAGGATGACAGAGTAAATAAAAAGGGGCTGAGGATGTAGCTCAGTGGCAAGGCCCTGGGCTCAGTCCCCAGTACTGGCAAAAAAGAGAGAGAGAGCGTGAGCACTAGGGGAAATTACTGAGAAATTAGCATTGTTAATACCATGAAGTCTTGGTGTGTGTAGTGGATCCTGCAAGGACCTGATGGTAAAGGAATTACTGCTGACCCTGAAGTGCTGCATAGGAGTGGAAACTTTCGGTCTAGTAGGGTAGGAAGTGAAGATCTTCATCTTCCCTCGAGCTGCTGTGTGTCTGACCGCCCCTCGGTCCGCACCCCTGCAGGCCAGGCACCTCACGGGAACTCATTAACCCCGAAGAGAAGTTGCGCTGCAGGCTTGCAGGTTTTGGCACTGGCCTTAGTTCAGCTTGATGAAGCCAGGCACGTGCAGGAACAGGCCCGGAGGGGTGGTTGGAAAGGAAGCCGTAACTCAGTTCAGAACCAAACACGTTCCCAAATGTTGAAACGTCCCATTGTCAGACACACCTGCCTGGTTCCATTATCCTCATAAGCCACCCACTTTTGCATGCCAGGACACGTAGCATGGCTGGCAGGAGCCCGTCAGCCACCCAAGTGGACGGGCTGCTACACGGGGTGCCAGTAAGAACAGTCCGTCTTCTGGCTCGCTGCGGCTCTCTCGGTGAGCTCCATGGTCAGGATGCAACTGAGAAAACAGAAGCATTATGTCTTCCTCCGTGGCCAGAGGCTCTCCTCACCTGTGTTCTTTTGTCATCCTCATCCACCTTCCCTTCGCCAGATAGATCATTTCTTAATCTCTTTTCACCATGAGGAAGACTTTCCCTCTCGAATCTTGGGGTGAACGCTGTTACCTTTTTTCTTGGGGGAGTGACTTGCAAGTATCTTTTGCTTTCTGGACTCTGGCCCACGATAGCACCTTTCTTTCTTGATGTGTACTACCGGAACCCCTTTACCTTGAGTATCAGTTGCTAGTCAGGAATTCATGAGCAACAGAATTGTTTTGCCATCTGCAAACAGAAAATCAGGCTTGTCAGTGGAGAAATGAAAGAGCTCATGTGTTCTAGCGGGTGTTTTTGTTTGTCTGAAGAGCAGGCTAACATGCTGTTTCCTTCCAGTCCAATATAGACATCATCCATGGCTACGCAGCATTCACAAGTGATCCCCAGCCCACGGTAGAGGTCAATGGGGAAAAGTACACCGCTCCTCACATCCTGATTGCCACGGGCGGCGTGCCCTCGCTGCCCCGTGAGAGCCAGATCCCTGGTGAGTGTTCCGAGGTGCTCGGCAGGCTTCGCTGTGGCTTCAGCCTTACACGCTGTGCTGCGGGAGCCGCCTGTACCAGTTTTCTCCTGAGAAAGGCTGTGAGGAAAGGTCTCTGCAGAGCCTGCATTTACTTGACTAACTAGTAGCTAATGATGGGACAGAGGAAGGTATTTCATCCCACCCTGGGCTCAGACATAGCACCAGTCCCCCTGCCTTCCCAGCCTGGCTTCCATCGCTTCCAGCCTGGCTTCCATCGCTCCCAGCCTGGCTTCCATCGCTCCCAGCCTGGCTTCCATCGCTCCCAGCCGTGGCTTGGCAGATGTGCGGGTATTTGTAGGACACATGACACATTAACTGTTGAAAGAAGAGAAGTCTTACAAGGACGTGGCTTACCTAGCCAAGTAGGCCTTTTTTATGTCCTATTTTTGTCTCACATAGAAAATTATAAAAGATTAATTCAGTAAGAAATTTCTGAATGGTCATATCTCCCTTTTGTATTTTAATTATGCTGAAGCCCCTAGTGGTGAGTCATGGACATACTGCCAGATTCTCTCACAAGAAACATTGTCTATTTTTTTTGTCCTCAGCAAGTTTCTAAGACCTTTGTGGATGTGACTGTAGTTTATAATCTTTTGTGTACTCTGTGGATTGGCTTCATAAAGTGCATGAGAACCCCCTGAAAGTATATGGGTATTGTAAACATTTATGCATTTCTTACCTCTCTGGAGAGAGGATCTGTGTACTTTCTCTAGCTTTGAAAAGTGTTCATGGTCCTCAAGGTAAAGAACAATCAGTGTAAGAGCTACAAAGATACTTAAGTAACTTAAAATTTATTTTAGAATATTGAGCGTAAGCATACTTTTTTTTTTTTAATTTTTTTTTAAGAATCTTTGATAGGTACAATCTCCCCAAGGTTTATTGCTAAATAAAAGAAAACAGGATAGAATAGTGTGTATAGTATGCTATAATTTATGTCTTTATATTTATTTATTTATGTATTTATTTTGGTTTTTTGAGACAAGGTCTCACTTTGTAGCCCAGGTTGGTCTCCAACTCCTGGCAATCGTCCTGCCTCAGCCTCCTAAGTGCTGGGATTACAGGCATGCACTACGACACTGGGCATTCTGTGTCTTTTTTAAAAGGCGAGGAGACCTGTGTGGTGTAGAAATGGAAGGATGCTCAGAACCCTGTAATGGCCTGGGGATGTGGCTCAGTGGCAGAGTGCCTGCCTACCACATGCCAGGCCCTGGTTCAATCCCCAGCTCAGAAAGAAAAAACCCAAACCCCAAAATGATGACTCCCTTCAGTGAGAAGATTAGAGGTATAGGTTGGGGAAGAGACTTGCTTGTCACCAGTATCAGTTTCACTGTATGTTTCACTGTACATTGTGTTGTACATTTTGAACTTCCAAATTTTTCAAATTTTTTTTTTTTTTGTACTGGGAATCAAACTCAGGACCTTATGCTTGCCAGGCAGGTGCTTGTGCCACTGAGCTACATCCCCAGCCTTGAACTGTTGAATTTTTTAATATTTTACTTTTGGTGTTTTGGGGGGTGCTGGGGGTCAGGGAGCTAAGCATGTATTCCACCACCAAGCTACACCTCCACGCACACCTTTTGAAATTTTTAACTTACACCTTCATTAATTTAAAAAATAATAAAAACAAATGCAAACACTAAATATAAATGTTCCAAAGTACAGTTGGCAGACTGTGAGGGTCGAGGCACTCCGAGGCAGGACAGAGTCCTCCAGGCTGGCCTGAGAGGGAGACTGTAGGGAAGAGGCTTGCACACAGCATGACGGGCCGAGGGAGAGAAGGACCAGAACCAGCAGGTTACAGAGAAGTCTTCGAAGCACATTCAGTGGCACTGATGCTTTATGACAGGGGCCAGGCTGTGGCCCCAGGGGAAGTCAAAAGGAATCTCTAACCTTACAGTAACAGTAATAGGTACTTACTGGCTTGCAGAGTGGTGGTGAGGTCCAAGTGATAATTTTAGAAAATAATCTGACACTGACTTGGAGAGAACATCGGGGAACAGGGTCAGTTAGCTACCAGCTGTAGGAGTCTGTGCAGGAGGTAGGGATGTGGTTCTAAAGTAGTGCGTCCTACCGTAAACGTGGGGTGGGACGTCTCAGTTGGGTTCTGCCCCCAGCTGCTGAGTCCCTGCTGTAATGCCAAGGGCTGGAGAAGAACACAGGTGTAAAAGACACAGCGGACCAAAAAAAACAGGAAGTGTATCTGATTGATTTCAAGACACACATTAGAAACAATATTCCTCATCTTTGAAATCAGGCTAGGTCTTGCAGTCACGGTGCTTAGATCTGGTAAAATGCAGTATTTTGGATTGTGGATGCAGCTCGGAGGTAGAGCACTTGCCGTGCTTGCATGAGGCCGAGGGTTCAATCCCAAGGCTGGGGTGGGGTGTGTGGCATACAGCATTTATTAACCAATGAGATATGGGGGGGCTTCAGAGAAGGAGTCACAGACGGACAACTCAAGGCTTTGGTTGATTGGGGAAAGCTGATTCCTTTCCCTAAAATGGTCACCTTGACAAGGATTTGATTTGAAAAGTAAGATTTAATTCTGAATATACATCCCTAATCCAAAACTACAAAATGTGGAATGCTCTAAAACCCCAAGTTTTTTTTGGTTTTGGTTTTGGTTTTGGTTTTTTTTGGTACTGGCGATTGAACTCATGACCCCAGGCAAGCGCTTGTGCCACTGAGCTATATCCCCGGCCCAAACCCCAAGTTTCCTGAGGAGCAACATGATGCAAGTGGAAAATCCCACACCGTGAACCTTGTGATATACAAAATCATTTTAAAATGTTGGATAATTGCCTTCATGCTGTGGAAAACATAAAAGAATTTCATGTTTAGACCTGGACTTCGCCCTAAGACATCTGATTATAGAAATGCAAATATTCTAAAGTCCAAAGCAGTCCGAAATTTGAAACACTTCTGGTCGCAAGCGTTCCTGGTAAAGGATACTTGACCCTGAGTTTCAAGCTCCATGGAATTGTGTCTCAGGAAAGCTAGAAATACAGTTCTGGGATTTGAGGAGGAGATCAAACTGGAAGTATGTATTTGGAGGTCCTCCACAGTGATGTCTGCTTGCAGCCTTTGAAGGAAAAGGCAGTGATAAGAGAGCCATGGCTGAAGGCTTCCTGCCTGCGCTGGAGTGGGAGGCCCGCATGCAGTTTGCGCAGAGTCTGTTCTTGGGAGCTGTAGTCATCACTGCTGCTGTTTGTAGAGAGAAAATAAAAATGTTGACTCAGAAGCCAGGTGTGGTGGTGCACCCTTGTAATCTGAGCTACTCAGGAAGGTAAGGCAGGAGGATCACTAGTTGGAGACCAGCCTGGGCAACTTAGTGAGACCCTGTCTCCGAAAAGAAAGAAAAACAATGTCATCAGCAGATTCCCATGTGGAGAATTCATCAGAACTTGTCAGAACAGAAAGAGTGTGGACGGAAAGAGAGTTTGGTTCTTTCATCAAACGTTGTTCTCATTTTACAAGAGAAAGTATGACCTTGTGTGATCTAAGCTGTATTTTTCTACATAGGTGCAAGCCTAGGCATAACCAGCGATGGGTTTTTTCAGCTGGAAGAGTTGCCAAGGTAAGTGGACACAGCTTCAGTGGTTCAGTCTTCCCCAGGGTCTTCTGGGAACATTTCTTGTTCCTCCACCTGTGAGCCACTTATAGGCACTTCCTGAATTCAGTTCTCTAACTCAGCTCTTTCTCTGACCTTGAGTATCTCATCTGCTAGTACCCTTCAGTAGATCCCTCAAATCTTTGAGGCTTTTGGTCAGAAGCTGTTGCAGAAAGTTTAGAGCTCAAATCAAATTAGGGAAGTGTTTAGAACTCAATAGTAAACTTTCATCTTTCTTTAGCTGACATGGCATCTAATAACATGTCTAAAGTAACTGATTCTGGATTTTTCTAAGTAGCTAATACAGAGCATTTCCATAAGTGGAGGCTCTGTTGCTCTCCTTTTTTTCTTTTTTTTTTTGTCTTTTTGAGACAGGGTCTCGCTGTGCAGTTCAGGCTGGCCTTGAGCTTACTTTGTAGCCCAGGCTGGTCTTGAACTTGCAGGGCAGGCAGAAGACAGCCAGCAGTGAAGTAGCAAGCAGCAAGAGAAGGTAGTGGCCCCCTTTCTGTCTCTTTTATCCGATCCAGGCCACCCGCCCTTAGGTCAGGTAGCACTCACACTCAAGGTGGGGCAGCCTTGATCCTAGCGTCACATCCTTGATCCCATTATCACACACTCTAGATCTGGCTACTTCTGAAAAGCCCTGCCCATGAGTGCGTGAGGCTTTGGGGGAGCATTTGCACACAAGCCACAACAGTTGCCCAGGCTGCTCTTAAACTCTTGGGATCAATGACCCTTCTGCCTCAGATATGCTGCACTGTACATCCAGACCAAAAGCCCCTGAAGACTGGACTTAGGACGTGGGTACTTTGCCTAAGGAAGGTATTGGAAGACTTCCTCATTCTGAGCTTCCCACCCTGCTTCAGTACTAGGAAGTGAACCTAAGGCCTTGGCACTTACCTGTATCCCAAGGCCTTTGTATTTTTTATTTTGAGGTAGGGTAGGCTCTCGCCAAGTAACTGAGTTGCCCTGGCTGGGTTTAAACTTCTGATCCTCCTGCTTCATCCTCCCAGTGTGCTGGGATTACAGGCGTGTGCCGCCGCACTTGGCTTCCCCAAACACTTCTTATCCATGCACTGTGACATGGGAGAGGATGCAGCTGATGCCTGCGTGGACAGAGCCACATGCAGGATGACTCTGCCTACCACAGGACCCCTGTTGTGTAGGCTGCAGTGTGTCAGCAAGCACTGCCCTCAGTCCAGGCTCACAGCTCCTCTACCACTGATTCAGACCTTCATTAGCACTGAACTAAGGCTGGAGGTTCTTTCTTAAACCAAAATGTATTCAGGAAGTTCAGTTTGATCATACTGCAAAGATTGACAGAACTGAATAATGATCAGGGAGAAATACTTGCCCAGGAGAATAATGAGTCAAAGGATCCTGGTCTCATGTTAGTCTTAGGTGCAAGGATCATTATGTAAGGAGTCCTCTCTAGTTTCAAAGATTTTGTCTTCTCTTAAAAAAGAAAAGGGTGGGGGTGAAGCTGCGCATGGTGGCGCACACCTGTATTCCCAGCACTTGGGAGGCTGAGGCGGGAGGATCATTGTGAGTTCAAGGCCAGCCTGGGCTACAAAGCAAGTAAGGCCAGCCTGAACTGCATAGTGAGACCCTGTCTCAAAAGGAAAAAAAGAAAAAGCGGGGCCGGGTATGGTGGCGCATACCTCTAATCCCGGCACTCCGGAGGCTGATGTAGGAGGATCGCCGTGAACTCAAGGCCCACCTGAACTACATAGTGCAACCCTGTCCACCCCTGCTCAAAAAAAAAGAGGGTAAATATTTTTTAAAACAAGTAAAATATATTTCACTTCTACAAAGGAATGTTTTCTGCTTAAATGTGTAACGCAGCACCTGGAAGAGGAAAGGGGACCCGTGGAAAAACTGATGAAATCTGTGATCTAGGGTTCGGTCAACAGTAATGTGCTCGTGAGCTGCTCAGTTTTGACAGATGTACCGCCAGCGTATAAAACGTTAACTTCAGGGATAGCTGAGTAGAGGGCATAAGGGAAATGTCATATTCTCTTTGCACCTTGTCTGCAAATCTAAAATTATTCCCAGGTAAGTTTATTTTATTTTAGTGCTTTTGTTAAGGGTAAGAAGAGTTTATTGAGTGAAAGATACCTTCTGTCTAAGAGATAGAAGGGGGCCCAGAAAGTGCCCCCGCCCCGGTTAATTTTAAAATGTTAACCCCTGCTTTTGTTTCAGGCGCAGTGTCATCGTGGGTGCCGGTTACATCGCTGTGGAGATAGCCGGGATCCTGTCCGCCCTGGGCTCTAAGACAGCGCTCATGATACGGCATGATAAGGTGGGTCTTGTCCTTCTCCTTAGGGGTTTTTGTTTTTTTTTTAAGAGGCAGAATTTTTTTTCCTAGGTCACCATTAGATACGAGGACACAAAGCGCATGGCGGTTGTGTCTGTTGGTCTGTGCCACCAGGCTGCGGGTAACCTGTTTGAATTACACCTTACACCCATCCCATCTGCTGTTGATGAAAATTCTAAGTTGATCAAACTGGCGGGTATTTTCTCCTTTCTGGCTAGAATTTTCATCACGAAATGATAGTAACTAACTACCTTAAGGAGACATTCAGTATAAGTGTTACTTAAATACCCTATCGTGTTAATTTCTTAATTCTGCAAATGAATTTCACATGAAAGGTAGTTTGGGATTGTTAGCACCCAGGCCAAACAATTCACTAACTTCTTTATATGAAGGAGAACCTTGTAGATCATCCACTTGAGTTTCATTTTACACACGAAGAAATTAAGGACGAGAGGTTTTGTGGCTGCTGACTTGTAGCACCGCTGGGAGTGGGCTGAGGTGTAAGGAAGCCCCAGCCTGTACTCTTTCTGCTCAGGTGTGGCCCGCACCTTTGTCATCGCTTGGTCAGGTGTTGCTCTCAGTCTGAGGTGGGTTAGTGGCTGTTGGCACCGTGTTAGAGCTCTGGTAGCAGGTGTGGGGCAGTAACGAAAGTGTTGGCCTACAAACCTGACACCACCACCACCACCACAATCCCTAGCAGATACGTGATGTGAGCAAGTCACTTAAAGTCTTTGGGGCCTGGTTCTGTAGGGACAAGATTTGTCAGACCCCTGATCACTCAAGTGCTATGATTCTAATTTTGTTTTTGTGGTACTAGGGATTGAACTCGGCCTGGTGCGTCCTGGCAAATAATCTACAACTCAGCTATGCCCCCAAATCTTTTTAAATTTTTATTTTATTGTATTTTATTTATTTATTTATTTGCTCTTTTTGAGACAGGGTCTCACTATGTAGTTAAGGCTGGCCTTGAGCTCACTTTGTAGCCCAGGCTGACCTTGAACTCCCAATGATCTGCCTCAGCCTCCTGAGTGCTGGGATTACAGGCATGCACCACCACGCCCAGCTTAAATTTTTAATTTTTGAGACAAGATCTCATGCAGTTACCTAGACTGAGCTCCAACCTGCAGTCCTCCTGCCTCAGCCTCCCAAGTAGCTGGAATTACAGGGGTTTGCCAGTATACCTGGCTGACTTTTAATTCTTAATTTGAGCAAAGGGAAGGACATGAGGGATACTGACTGTCCCTAGGCAGTGTGCGCTCTGAAAACTTTCTCTTAGGCTTTGAGATGTGTCATATAATTAGCCCTAAAGAGATTTATGTCTTGAATAATGTTTTTCATGAATATGACTTTACCTTACTGAATCATACCTAGTAAATTGAAAAGAAGAGGAAAGGCAGAAGATGTGAGCTTAACTGAATAGCTAAAGTCCTGAAACATTGCAGTCTTACCAGTACAGCAACTGATTCCCGCATTTGCAGAGGGCTGCCTTACCTGGCTTCTTGCCCTCTCCTGCCCCTGAGGCCCAGACTAATTCTCCCTCTGCCCTGTCCTGGTGTAACTCCATCCAAAGCCACTGCAAGTGACTCCTGACCTCCTGCTGCAGTATGTTGCATGTGCGTTATTAGAGGTAAAGCCCCACTGTGAAGCTGTGATTTCTAACTGGATAAAGAAATTTTGCTAGAAGACCTTCTCTTCAATCATATCAGAGGGAAGGCTGGCCCTTGGGCACTAAGAATGGGGGAAAAAATGTCTGTTCCTTACACTTTCCAGAAGAGAAGCAAACTTGGAAGAGGGGAAGATAAAGATGATAAGAGTCCTGAAAGTTGACTGTCCATTTCTTTGGGACTCTGAAACAGGAATTGAGAAAGTTAATTGCAGTAGAGACCTTGGTGGTGATAATAGAGGATTTCATTTATTCATTTATTTGTTTGTTTGTTTGTACCAGGAATCGAACTCAGGACCTTACACTTGCCAGGCAGGCGCTATGCCTCTGAGCTACATTCCTGACAAATAGAGGATTTAGTAAAACTGCTCCCACTCTAGCCACGAATAGAGGAGGAAATAAAAGGAAGGGTGAATCAGTACTGACATTTCCCTCCTGAATTTGTAGCATGTCTTTAATCAAGTGTTCTTTCTTTCTACCGCCCATTCCCTGTGGCCTGCATTTGTACACAGGTACTTAGAAATTTTGATTCTCTGATCAGTTCCAATTGCACGGAGGAGCTCCAGAACGCTGGTGTGGAGGTCCTGAAGTACTCACAGGTGTGTGTGCACCCCGGCCCGCTGTATGTCACGGGGGAGGGGGGGGGGAATCACACTTTCTCTTTTTGTCTTGTTTTGCTTCTTGCAGTGCTGGGACTCAAACCCAGAGCTACATGCACAATAAATGAGTGCTCTACCCCTGAGCTGCAGGCCCTGTCCTGGTTTATAAACAACACACACTCTTTATTTCAGTCAGTTTATTCCACTTCTAGGAAACTGTGAATTACTTTTTTTTCCTAAGAAGCTATAATTCATATTAAAGTATTAATGAAGTTAAGGTGTACAAGATTAGAAACCTGGCAGTTTAATTTAGAACTAAAACTTGCATTTCTACTCATAAGCCTTTTTACACATCCTTATTTTTGAGATTTATATCTGTTTTTCAGAAAATAGCACAGAATCTGTTTTTTTCCCTGTCACCACCTTTATAGAATCTCTTTTTAAGGCATACTTTTTTTGAACTTTATAAATGGAAAGAATTACAGAGTACTTTACTCTCTTCAAGGAAATACTTGAATTTCAGCAGCCTGTTCCTGAAGAATTAACTTTGTAAAAACCATTCGCTGGTCCCCACACACAGGCTTGCCTTTTCACTATAGACCATATCAAGTAAAATAATCAACGAGAACTTGCTTTGTGGGTGTAAAGATGCTGGACTGGTGGAAAACGTCACCATCAGACTCTTGGGACCCTCACCACACCGTGAAGTCAGCCCTCCACATGCACGGATTCAACCAGCCAAGGATCTTGAATGTTCAGGGCAAAAATGGGATCTTGCTGAACATTGTACTGACATTTTTTCTTGCCATGATTCCCTAGATAATACCATGTAAGAACTATTTACATAACATTTACGTTGCATTTATTATTTTTTCTATTTTTTATTGTTTGGTTTTTTGAGACAGGGTCTCTCTATGTAGTTCAAGCTAGCCCTAAACTCACTCTGTATCCCAGGTTGGCCTCAAACTCTAGGTGACCTCCTGCCTCAGCCTCCCGTATGCTGGGATTATAGGTGTTACATTGCATTTAGCATTAAAGTAATCTGAAGATAATTTAGCACATAGGAAGATGTTCACAGATTATATGGAAATACTGTGGCATTTTATATAAGGGACTTGACCTTCTTTGGATTTTGGTATCTTTACAGGATCCTGAAACCAGTCCCCCAAGCTGATACCCAGGGATGACTGTGTGTGCTTGGCTGTCCTGCCTGGAGTGTTACTCCCTTCCCCCATTCTGATAAATTGCAGGGAAAAGCAACGACCATGCAGTTTGGAGAAGTTTCCTAGTGGCACTGCTATGACCCAAATCACTGTGGTTAGACTTATTACTTAAATATCACCACAGTTTTAAACAAGTACTCTTTATTTATTTATTGTCTTTTTAAGACAGGGTCTCGCTATGGAGTTCAAACTGGCCTTGAGCTCACTTTGTAGCCCAGGCTGGTCTCGATCCTCCTGTCTCAGCCTCCCAAGTGCTAGGATTACAGGCCACCACGCCTGGCTTTGAGAAGTACACTTTAAAATGCTTTGATGTTTTGGGGGTTTTTTTGTGTGTTTTTTTTTGGTCTTTTTTGAAATAAGGTTTCGCTATGCAGTTAAGGTTGGCCTTGAACTCACTTTGTAGCCCTGACTGCCTCAAACTCATAGCAGCCCTCCTGCCTCTGCCTCCTGAGTGCTGAGATTACAGACATGCACCACCATGCCCACCTTAAAATACTTTCTTAAATGGAAGCATTATGGCCGGGCGTGGTGGCGCACGCTTGTAATCCCAGCACTCAGGAGGCTGAGGCAGCAGGATCATCTAGAGTTCAAAACCAGCCTGGGCTATGAAATGAGCTCAAGGCCGGCCTGAACTGCATAGGGAGACCCTGTCTCAAAAAGACAAAAAAAAAAAAGTTGAAGCATTGTGATGACATGAGTTGACGTTCTTGGTCATTGGCTGGAAGATTTAAAGGACAAGGAAGCTTTGTGGTGGCACGTGCCAGACATCCCAGTGTTGCGGACGGCTGAGGCAAAAGAAACGATTTTAAGTTTGAGTCCAGCCCAGATAACTTAGCAATTTAGGAGGCTTTGTAACAAATATTTTTTTCTACAAACTTCTTAAAATGAGGGTGGTGGTGGCTGACGGAATAGCACAGGGTAAAGGCCCTGGGCTCGGTCCTCAGCTCCACACAAAGAAAGGGCCACCAGGAAATGGCCCTGCCTCCTGGGGTTCTAGTGTCAGTGGCTTTGGGTAAAAGTGGATGTCTGTCAGGTGGAAGTTTCAGTGTAGGGTAAATGTTAAAAATTTTTTTTGTAAATGTTAAAAATTCTATTTTCTTCTTTATTTGCCTTCATTTTCTCCCCATGCTGCACTGCACTCATTTAACACATTTTATTTGTCAATAGGTCAAGGAAGTTAAAAAAACTTCCACAGGCTTGGAACTCAGCGTGGTTACTGCACTTCCTGGGAGGAAACCCACCTTGACCTCCATTGCAGATGTGGACTGCCTGCTCTGGGCCATTGGGCGGGACCCAAATTCCAAGGGCTTGAATTTAGACAAGCTGGTAAGCTGATGCAGTGCGCCCCACACATTCTTGACTGTGCGAGTCGCCCTGTGATCTCCACCCCTCCCCTCCACTGCCCGCGTGAGACTGGAGGGGGCTTCACGGAGTCAGTTTCCCTTTATTCCACGTTCTACTTTGTCATCAAATCTTATCACTTTGAAATATTTTCCCTTTCTAGAGTTGTAACCCTGGAGCAGGGGGATTTGATTGGAGGGATTCTAGTCTAGATTGTCCAGCTGTTTCCTGACTGCTTCCTTCTCAGACTTCCTTTTTGATACTCAAATGATATTTTAATGTCCTACGCTGATCCTGCCTTGTCCACAGCATCTTGCATGTCCTTGGTGTGGCATCAAGGTGGTACCCCGGGTCGGGAACAGAGGTGAAGCCATCTCTCTTACCTCTGCACAGACAGCAGTCTTCTTTGTTCTTTAAATTTTTTAAAGAACATAATAGGCTGGGGTGTGGTTCCCTGAGTTTGACCTGAATTTGAACCTAGTTCTATTACTTAACAGTAGCATGGCCTTGAGCAAGTGGGTATTTTTTTCTAAGTTCAGTAGTTTCACAGACAGGATGGTAATGGAAACAGTACTTGCCCCCTTGGGTTATAAAAAAGAATAAATGAGACAGTGCATGCAAAGTCATTAGCTTAGGCCCCTGCCTTAAGGGTATGTTTTTAGGGTTGTTTTTTTTTTTTTTTTTCTGTCTTTTTGAGGCAGGGTCTGGCTGTGCAGCTCAGTTTGAGCTCACTTTGTAGCCCAGGCTGGTCTTGAACTCGCAATGATTCGAGTGCTGGAATTACAGGCATGCACCACCGTGCCCTGCTGCCTTAAGAGTATGAACACCTGCTGTTGTTGCTGATCGTGATGGTTTTTCTGATGTAGTACTCTTTTAGCAAAATGGGATGTTTTATGTTTGAGGTTTATACATTTGATGAAGCCTGAGTGGTATATAACATTTTGATTTATGTTATAAAATTAATTTCTGTTGTAAGAAGATTTCTTTCTCAATCCTATAAAAAGTTATTTTTGAACACTTTTTTTTTTTTTTTTCCAGGAATCAAACTCAGGACCTTGTACTTGCCAGGCAGGCGCTTGTGCTGCTGAGCTGTATCACTGGCCCTGAACACTTTAATGATTGTTATCATTATTAATTTTTTGGTGCTAGGGACTTAATCCAGAGATTTATATATGTTAAGCATGCATTCTACCACTGAGCTATATTCCCTAGTATATTTTTCAGCATTTTCAGTGTTTTAAATAATAAAACATTCAGGGACATATTTGGCTTATTTTCAATCTTATTCAATGAAATTTAGTTGGACAAGTTGTCTGTTTTTATGGTAACGTAGTCGTCCAGCTTTTTACCTTTCAGGGGAGATTTTGTCTTTATACAAATAGAGGCATCGGTACATCTTAATTCTGAAATGTATTTGCTGAATATTTATTTGTTTATTTATTTTGAAGCCCCCCCCCCCCCCGGTACTGGGAATCGAACTCATGACCTTGCGCTTGCCAGGCAGGCACTGTGCCGCTGAGCTAAATCCCCAGCCCCTATTTTGAATTTTAAAAGAATAAGGCAAAAACAGTGTTTGGTCTCAAACAGTACTAAGCTATATATAATGCAGGGGTTTTTTTTGTTTTGTTTTGTTTTGTTTTTTTGTCTTTTTGAGACAGGATCTCACTATGTAGTGCAGGCTGGCCTTGAACTCCCTTATGTAGCACAGGCTGACCTGGAATTTGCAGGGATCCTCCTGCCTCAGCCTCCCAAGTGCTGGATTTGTAGGTGTGTGCCACCATGCCCGGCAATGCAGATTGAATGTTTACTACTTACTAGGGTTTGTCAGGGTGTTACTAATTCAGTTTAATCTTAATCTTGCCTGTGAGTATTTGAGACATAAAAATGAGAAAACCAGGAATGCAGAAATAACAGGCAGCTTCTCAGACTGTAAGTTCTGTGAAGGAAGAAAGATGTCTAGCATCACTCTGTTTTCAGAACTAGGTGAAACCATCTTTTGCCATAGAAGTTCACATATTTAGGTGATAAATAGGTGGCTATACAAAGTCTTACTCCTAGTAAGTGGCAGAGCTGAGAGTTGCACCCCTGTCTTCCCTGCCACACCCCTAGCCCCAAAGATTGTAGTCTTAACCACTAGCTTCTCTGGATGACCGCTATGCTTCCTGTCCCCACTGTGCCGCGGATTCAACACAGAGGGGAAAATGGTGATGGGAGACATAATATGTTTTGTTAATAGAGTGCCAGATTTATTTGGGTTTTTAAAAATAACAAAAGAATGTGCTTCAGAGGAATGTGCTGTTGGTGGCTGCTTCAGGCCGTGTCCGGGGTAGACAGGGCCTGCCTTGGGGAGCATGTCAGTGGAAAAAGTTGAAAACACGTCTTAGATCCCACCCCAGAAGGCAGTTCATCTGATAGTTCAGTATCACTTGCTCAACTTTCAGATTTACCTTTTCCTGTTTACCCCACCAGCTGCACTATACATTGCCATGTGAAATCTTACTAAAACTCCTCACCCAAACTTGTGTACAGTATTTCACCTTTTACGTTAAGCAAAAGATAAAAAGATTCGCCGGCTGTAAATGTGCCCCACTCTGCCGTTGAAGTTCGTGGTTTCTTGCATGTTCAGGCAGAAGGGCTGCCTGACGTGAAATGCAGCAGATCCAAAGGTTTGATCTGCCAGGTTTAGTTGACGGGTCCGCTGTTCATGTGCCGTCCCTTCATAATTTCAGGGAATTCAAACTGACGCGAAAGGCCATATCATAGTAGATGAGTTCCAGAACACCAGTGTCAGAGGCATCTACGCAGTTGGGGACGTGTGTGGAAAAGCTCTTCTGACGCCAGGTAACGCTTCTTCCTGCCTCTGGAGGAGAGGTGGCTCCAAGTGCTGCATAGCGCTGTCCTGCTCTTCACTTCGGCAGAGCCGAAAGCATGAGTGTCTTCGTCTTGTCAAGTTGGGGAAAGTATTGAAATAGAGGTTGGTTGGATACCTGACATTTTCTGGATGATACTCATTTTTTCTTTAAAAGACTTAATAAAATGTTTAGAGAAGGTTGAAATTCTTATGTAGATAGTATGGCCACCCTCTGAAGAACTCTACGTAGTCTCAGAGTTGTGTGTGGTGACAGAAGTGACTTTTGGAAGAAGGAATTTAGATCCACCTTCTCTGGTGAGTGTCTGGTGCACCCAGGACCGACTCCCCTTCCCTCCCTCATCCTGTTCCTCAGCCCACTTCCTGAGCTAAAGAGCACATTTCAAACTCTGTCCCACCTCTGTCTGTCAGCGGTGTCACTCCATCTGCTTGCAACCTGTCCTTCTATGGGACCACACCAGCCTTCCCAAAATGTTCCAGGGGTCTTACATACCGATGAAAATTCACCTGTCACGTACCCAAACCCTTTTAGCTCCTTTAGGAAGTTATTTATTTTTTCTGGCCTTGGGGTCAAACCCACGGCCATGTTTTCTTTTTTTTGTCTTTTTGAGACAGGGTCTCACTATGCAGTTCAGGCTGCCTTGAGCTCACTTTGTAGCCCAGGCTGGTCTTGAACTTGGAACAATCCATCCTCCTGCCTCAGCCTCCTGAGTGCTGGGATTGCAGGCATGCGCCACCACGCCCAGCTAGAAGAGTAAATTTTTAAATTAAAAAAAAATTTTTTTCTGGTAGTGCTGGGGATCAAACCCAGGGCTTTGTGCATACGAGGCAGGAACTCTACCACTGAGCCACATCCCCAGCCCAAGTTAAAAGATCTAATAAAATGGGTTTAATGTGAGCCGAAGATGTACAGAACTACTATAATTAGCTCCATAAATATCGTGTCAGCAAACTGCTATCCTCACTACTCGACTGCCAGGTAATTGGGAGCTTATAAATGTGTGTCTTTGTCGTTTTTGTTTTCCTAACAGAATGTACAGAATTCATATAAGCCAGTAGTTTTGAATGGTGCACTAAGGCACTGATACTTTCTCATTATGCTTTGCTAGATATTATAATGAGATGTGGCATAACGCTTAGCCCCAGTGTGTTACGGCAGATGCTAAATGACGAGCAGAACAGCTCTGCCGTGTTAGAATGAACAGTGAGACCAACACTAACTTCAGAATATCTCTGTAGTTGCAATAGCTGCTGGCCGGAAACTTGCCCATAGACTTTTCGAATGCAAAGAAGATTCCAAATTAGACTATGACAACATCCCTACTGTGGTCTTCAGTCACCCGCCTATCGGGACAGTGGGGCTCACTGAAGGTAGGTACTTCAAGGTGAAGGGCGTTTGTGGTTGCTTCCTTTGAGCTAGGTCCCTGCCAGTCAGCTAAATCTGTCTCAGTCCCCAAATTACACTCTCCGTTTTTATTTATTTATTTTAGACAGGATCTTTCTGTGTAGCCCAGGCAGGCTTCTAACTCCTGGGCTCAAGTGATCCTCCTGCCTCAGCCTCCTAAGTGCTGAGACTACTAGCACACACCACACGGCTGTCTTCTCCCTTTGTCTGTCCATCCATCCATCCATCCATCCCTCCCTCCGTTTCCCTTTTTTCTTGTTTTTTGAGACAGGGTATTACTGTGTGGTCCAGGCGGGCCTTGAAGTCACAGCGGTCCTCCTGTCTGAGCCTTTGGGAGAGGTGGGATTGCAGGTGTGCATCACCATGCTTCGCCCATTTCCTTTTGGTTAATCTGTAATCACAGTTCTGATTTACTTCAGAGCTACTCATCCTTTGAGAGTAGTTTCTTTTCCCCACACAATACTGTTTATCTGATTTTTGTTAGCTTTTTTATTTGAACTAACATCACATTTAAAGTTAAGAAATCAATACAAAGGACTCTTGTATATTTTAATATTTTTGCTTAATTATTTTCTTTATTATAAACCCACATACACTCTTTAGTATATTTTAGTATTATTTCTTTTTCTTCTTCTTCCTGTTCTTTCTTCTTTTTCTTTTTCTTTTCTGACAGGGTCTAACTATGTAGTGGCTGGCCTTGAACTCAATATGTAGCCCAGGCTACGGAACTTGCAATCCTCTTGCTTCACCCTCCCAAGGGCTGGGATTACAGGTGTGCACCACCGTGCCTGGCTATGTATTTTTTAAGAACAGGCCCAGTACAGTTTTCAAGTCTGGATCTTACATAAATTTTACCAATTACTGAGTTTATGTCATTTTCAATATTTTTTCCCCAAGTCTAGAATTCACTGTAGAATAATAGATAACATGTAGTTTTTATACCTCTTTGGTCTCCCTTAAAATAAGAGACAATTTTTAGCTTTTATCTCACTCTTTGTTTTTTTTGATACTTCCTCATGATTTGACTCAGTTATGTATTTCTCACCATTTCTCCATTCTCCATGAATCATGACGATTCATGTTTTAAAGTCTTTTTATTTAGTTTTGATAAATGCTTTTTTAAATGTACATTACAGACGAGGCCGTTCGTAAATACGGAAAAGACAACGTGAAGATCTATTCCACTGCCTTCACCCCAATGTACCACGCAGTGACCACCAGGAAAACAAAATGTGTGATGAAGATGATTTGTGCTAATAAAGAGGAAAAGGTATGGAAAAACCCAGTGAGCCCAATAGCACCTTGCAGAATTGAAAAGGATGTTGGTAACTTGGTTTGGGGGCAGGAGGGTGCGGAGAGACCCGGTAGGTGAGTCCTCTGGTTCACGGGGCAGCCCCCTTTTATCTGTCTTATTACAGGGTGTGATGCAAATATAATCCATGTTTAAATTTCAAAAATTTATCATAGTAAAATACACCTTGCCATTAATCCCCCGCAAGATATTCCCTCTTGCTTCAAGCACACTCATCCCATTGTCCTCCCCACCCCTCTTTTTCTTCTGTCTTTTTGAGACAGGGTTTCACTCTGCAGTTTAGGCTGGCCTTGAACTCACTTCATAGCTCAGGCTGGCCTCGAATTCTCAGCCTCAGCACTATTTTGGTAGGGATTAATTATGTGTCTTTTACTGCAGTAAACTTTTTCTTTTTAAGTTAAACTTTCACCATATCTTTTGGTCACATTGTGGGTGAGGGGTAGTCATCCTGTATCTCATTTAGAAAGAAAGTCCCATTCCTTTTAAAAAGTAAGGCGAAAAGGCCAGATGTGGTGGCTCACACCTATGATCTCACCACTCATGAGATTGAGGCAGGAGGAGCACTGCAAGTTTGAGGCCAGCCTGGGCTACGAAGTGAGCGCAAGGCCAGCCTGAACTGCATAGTGAGACCCTGTCTCAAAAAGACCAAATAAAAGAGATCAGTCTTCTGAGAAAGATGGACTATAATTATCCAGTCCCTCAGAAAAAATCCCATTGTAGCTGTGATAGAGCCATGACATGACAGAACTGTTGCTCTGGAGAGGGCATGTGACAGACTTCAGCTTGTCAAGAAGAAAGAACTCCATAGCCATCTGAAAGGTGAATGAATGGACTTCAGCTCTGAGAGAGGGGAGGAAGGCCGTCCAGACTGGGTTCCCTTGTACGAAGGAGACAGCGTGGTAGCCGTGTGGGACAGGAGGAAAGCTGGCCGGGACCAGGAGAGCCTGAGCAAGAGCCGTGTGGCACGTGCTCCCTCCGGAATTACACCCCTAGCCCTTAGTTCTTTCTTTATGTCCCCATTGCATATCTGGTAAAAAACTTCACTGTCCTCGCTTCTCCCTTTTCCTCAGGTGGTCGGGATCCATATGCAGGGGATCGGCTGTGATGAAATGCTGCAGGGTTTTGCTGTCGCAGTAAAAATGGGAGCAACAAAGGCCGACTTCGACAACACCGTTGCCATTCACCCTACCTCTTCAGAAGAGCTGGTCACACTCCGCTGAGAGCCCGGAGACTCGTGCAGCTGGGTTTGGACCAGGACACCTTCTGAGACGAACCACACTATTGTGTTTACTTCCTGTTCTCGTTTTATGTATTTCCTTATTTTAATCGGGATCTTCCAACAGGGGAAATTTTTGGTAAAGAACAGAACTTACTTATGTAATCAGAAATGTGTTGTTTTAATTCCACGGTTGATTTTCATTTGATCAGATCTCATGACGATTCATGTTTTAAAGTCTTTTTATTAACAGCTCTCTACAAGTTGGCTTTATGTTGTTCGTGTAGCCTCATCCCAAATATAAAACTGTATGAAGTGTAATGAAGTTCATGTACTGGAAGGAATATAGCATGCTAGTTCTTACAGAGGAAAATAGGGACAAAGCTTTATATTTAAATAACACAAGAGCAAGAATCTTTTTATTTTTTGAAGCCAGTACAGCGCTCTGCATATTGCAAAGCTGCTTCAAGGATGTGACCTTTCTCTCATCTCCTATTTTATTCTTTTTGTTTGTTTTAAATGGTTAAAAATTGGTTTATGTTCCTTTCTTGAGATGAGGCACATAAGCTCTGGAGAGATTTGAGGAGTCCCGTTAACTGTCTGAGAGTCAGTCTGGGAATGGTTGGTGCTTTCAGAAGGTGGATTCGAATACTTCAAAAGTTCCTTTCTCGCTGTGTTCACAGCTCAGCCAGTAACCTTAGCATTTGTATCTGTTCCTGTCATTTTGTTTTCTTCTGACAGATGTTCCAAATACTTGCAAATCACAGCCTTTTCTTCTTATAAAATTTGTTGTGAATTTAATGCCAGTTTATGTTCTAAGGATGTTTTACCTTGGCAAATCAAACGCCAACACATGGGGGGGAAGGGTGTCTCTTAAAAATAAAGACCTGACTTGTAATAAAAAAAACACTTAGTAGATTAATGGTTGAGTTATAAAAGAACAGCCTACAAATCACTTAGATGTTTAGCACTTTATTTTCATTGTTTTTGTCAGCTCAGTCAGCTGAATTTTTCTGTGGTTTTCACTAGGGCATATGGTGCTTCTGAATTCTTCCATCCCATTTTTCCTGAATGCCTTTCTGCGTGGTCGTGGCCAGTTGCTGCACTGATTTCTTAAGTAGACCCAGTGCTGGTGAAAGAAAAATATCACAGTAGTAACCAGGCTATGTATTGATGGTGCGCTGAGAAAAGAGACTCACAAGGCCTGGACACTGAGGCAGCCGCCCCTCCCATCAACTTGAAAGGTAGTCAGCTCAGCTTCCAGGCTCAGCCCTCCTGTTGGGTTCCCCACTCTGCACATGTGAGGAGCTCGAAGCCTCTGCCAGGAAAAGGGAAGTCTGCAGAAGCCACATCCATTCTAATACCACGCATTCGAACATCCCCATGTTTTTTGTTTTATTTTGTCTTTTGGTGCTGGGAACCAAACTGTGGGCCTTGTATGTGCATAGCACAGGCTCTACCACTGATTGCACCCCCAGCCCCAACGGTGTTGTTGGTCCCACGTGTATCTTCTGTGCTGCCTGTGTACTAGTTCCATCGGAAAGCGGTGTGAAAATCACCTCTCCCAAGATCCAGTCCACATTCTCACCTGTCCTCAAACCCCCGGCCCTTGAGGTGATGGGGCTGAACAGCCTGCCTTGCCCAGAGCACTGGGGAGCACAGAGAGGGCAGGGCGGCAAGGTGTACAAGGTGGGGCACTTGGTAGGTGCTTGGTAGGTATATATTGAGGAGAAAACATGGTACTTCCATGTAACCTAGTTGAGAGCACATTTCTGCAAAAATGATGGGTAGTTAAGCATGGGATAACCACATCATTTATTGACTAAAATGGGACCGCTCTAGATGTAGGAATGTATATAGCACATGGGTATAGTGCTTGCCTAGCATGAGTTTTATCCTCACTGAGAGAGAGAAAGAAAGGAAAACTCTGAAAGGATGCCCTATTAATAACTAGAGGGACTTGGGTATAGTAGAGTGCTTGCTAAGGGGCTCCTGGTTTGATCCCAGCACTAAAATCAAGGTGTTTCTGTGTGTGTATGTGTGTATATATGGAAAAGAGGCACAAGTTGGAACTGTCCCAAACAAGTTATACATTATTAGGTAGAGTGCCTTAGTGCTGGGAAAACGGAACAGCTTCAAGAAGGCGGGGTATGTAGGATTTGAAATGGGGGGCTGTAGAAGAGAAGGTGAGAGGGGGGTTACTACAGTGAAGGCAGGAGTGGGTAAAGTACTGCTGCAGAGCAAGCTACCTGAGAACTTGGCTTAAAAGAGAAGCTGGAGAAGAGGTTGACTGCATTCCCCAGAACAGGGCCTCTCCGCGTCATTGCTAAGGCTCTCCTTTGCTGAGGTCACCCCTTAGTGTTGACATGAGATGCAGATATCTGTGTGTTTTCACCTACTCAGGGGTGTATCCCTACGTCTTCCCGAGGCTTCCTTGTCTCCGGGTTTCTACTCTCTGAAGACAGCCTGTGAATCAGTGTGTACAAGCAAGCACATCTGGCCACTTGTAAGCAGATTGAACAGCTGTGAGGATGTCCCCTCCCTGCTGTGCAGCATTTCCACCCGAGGGAGCCTCAGGCTGCAGCCATCCACCCACTGGTTGTACCTGCGTATCCTGCAGAAACGGCTGAGAACCAGGCCCCGGTTTTCTTCCTCAGGGAGATCATAGGGACACCTTTGAAGGCATTGGTACCCCTGGGAGAAGGTAACACGGGGAGAGGAGCACAGCAAGGGCTTGAGCCTCTACCTGTGCCTTAGTTGTGCTCTCAGCATCAGCTCAGGCCCAGGCTCCCACTGCTTTCCCTTTGCGGTGGAGTGCTGCTGTGTGTGCCCAGCTTTGTGGCTGAGTGTATCAGATCACCCCCTCCATGGGCAGCTCAGGTTTCATGGTAACTTGGTGGCCCATGATTGAGTGTTCACATTCTGCTAAGACCCAGTGGCAAGCCAGGAGTTGTTTCTCTAGAGAGCGGGTTTTTTTGTTTGGTTTTGTTTTTGTTTTGTTTTTGACCAATTGAATAATCATTGACTATTCTCAATGGTTGTAGGAAACACATAGTAATAAACATACATCCATTTACGAAATAGCGTAGGAACAACAGAAACATTACAGTTATGGACAGATTGGTAGGAAATTACCAGTGGCTGCTATAATACAAGTTGGTATCTTCACAGTGGTTTCTCAGGAAAACAAAGATATGCAAGAAAGATCTAACAAGTAGTTACAGCCTAAGAGTTGTGAAAAATACCTGATTACCTCCTCACCAGTGATTCCTTTCACTGAGGTGTGATGGCTGGAAGGAAGGCCAGGATTGAAAAGAAGGACCAAGAGACTTGCACCTGTGTCTAGCAACAGGCTGTTTACTTTTTCTTCTAGAGTCATGATTACCCGGGGCTGCTCCATAGAGATGACAGTCTGGCCAGAGGGAGGAGAGCATGCCCTGGGCCCCCTCATTCCTGTTGGACTAACTGGTAGGATGGGTCTGAGCTCTGGGGCCTCTGCTTCAGAGGGCAGACCGATCTCCAGTGGTCACTTTTGCATTCAGGGCATGGCGCAGGGGACTTCTTAGGGCATTCCTCTTGAGGTGGCCTGGCTTTTAACAGTGGTAGCAGAAGAATGTAGTCGAGTTCTTCTTGGGGCCCTGAGAATCAGACTTAGGGTCTGTTTCTCTTAGTGCTGCAGCAAAAGCAGCTGCTTTTTCTCGGTTCTCTGTTTTCTCTCCTTGGCCGCCTCCTCATCACAGCTATAGAATATTGAGGAGGCAATTCTTACTAACATCTGAAGTGAGCCATCTGGGGTGAAAGCCATTTTTTGGAGCTTTTTCTCTCCAGCCTCCCAGCACATTGGGACCCCGCAACTACTTAGTGTCCTCTCCTCAACCGTCAGCACAGGCAGCAGGAATCGGTGTAGAGAGCAGTTTTTATCCATAGAGGACATAGGGCTTTGCTCCAAAATCCTAAGGGCTTGCACTACAGCACGCCTAGAGGGGCTGCCCAAGACTCCAGCTTCTCTGTCTCTGACAGCAAGCACCACGGATCTGCTGGATTGTGTGATCCATGAGGTACAGCGGCCTCCACTGATGCAGAGCTTGCTTTTCTTCTGGGCCCACTCAGAGTTATCAGCTTCTCAGGCCACTTGGTGAATGGGCTGGAGTAATGCATCTGAACAGAGACTGTTGGCACCAAAATCCAAAGAAGCCTGCTGGGTGCTGTGTGTGTTTTGGTTGTGGGACGGGCAGTTGCAGCAGCTCACCCTTCACCCTCAGAGGGGTGAACTCCACATGCCCCCTACCACTGGGCCCGTAGGCCTTCCACTGAGACAGAGAGCCCTCCGAATTTTTGTTGGATTTGTTTTCCACTCCCTGGCTTGAAAGTGTCTTATCAATGAAGTTGCTGCTACTTGTTGTTCTCTAGGTCCAGTCAGGATCATTTGTCAATGGTGTGACCACTGTGATCCAGGAAGGGAAAGGGGATCAAGATCCCTGTGAACAGAGAGCCAGGCATGGTGGCACACACCTATAATCCCAGCACTTTGGGAAGCTGAGACGGGAAGATCGCCGTGCATTTGAGGTGAGCTTTGGCTACATAGTTCAAAGCCAACCTCAACTACATAGCAAAGACTTACCTTTAAAAAGATAAAGATCCCTATGAATTAAATGATGACAGGCTAGAGAGTTGATATAACCTGAGATAAGATAGAGAAGGTGTATTTCTGATCTTATCAGATTAAATCAAACTGCTGCTGCTGGCCTGTATTGATAAGTAGGGAGAAAAAGCATTCGCCAGACCAACAGCAGCATGCCAGCTCCCCGGGGATGTGTTGATTGGCTCTAGCAATGAAACCATATCTGGTACAGCAGCTGCAATTGGAGTCATCACCTAGTTAAACCTACGATAATCCTTGTCACTTTCCAAGCTCCTTTTGTCTTCTGCACAGGCCAAATAGACGAGTTGGATGGCGATGTGGTGCGAATCACCCCTCTGCCTTTTGAGTCCTCGGTGGCACTAATCTTGTGACTCCCTCCAGAGATGCAGTATTGCTTTGGGCTTATTCTTCTCCTAAGTAGAAGCAGTTCTAGTGCCTTCCATTATGCTCTTTCTTACCATAATAACCCTTAGTCCACAGGTGTAGGAGGACCGGTGTAAATTCTACAACTGCTGAGCAGGTCTTTTTGGATTATGCAGCCCTTGGGCTGGGGATATACCTCAGTGGCACATTGCCTGGCTGGTAAGCACGAGGTCCTGAGTTTGATTCCTGGCACACACACACACACACACAGACACACACACAAATTATGCAACCCTGAACTACAGAAAATAACTACAGGATAGGTTTCAGGGCCCACTGGGCTCACTGTACAGTGGACCTGAGCTAAAACTGTGTTAGTCACCTGACCTCCATAAGCCCTATTCTGGTGGGCCACAGTAACATTTCATGTCCTTTGAGCTAATGCCAGTCAGAGCCAGTGTTCCTGAAAAGTCAGATTACTCCCTGGTCCATAGTCACCCTAGTAAAATACTGTACATCCTTTTGTGGGATGGTTGGAGAAAGATTAGCAGTATAATTTCTGGGCAGCGTGACTCTAACTGACAACAGTCCTGTTTTTCTTTTTGTTTTTCTTTTTAAGTTTAAACCAATAATCTTTAGATTACAAAAGTAAGGCACCAAATTGGAATAACAGAATATATAATATCAAAAATGTAAAATGGGACTGGAGATACAGCTCAGTGGCATAAGCGCTTGCCTGGCAAGTGCAAGGTCCTGAGTTCAATTCCTGGCACCAAAAAATACTGTGAAATGTAGTTTAAAATACATTCACATCCTTTTCCAACTCTGGATGAGAGCCTATTCCCTTACTTAACTGGCGTTGCTTGGTCTACCAACATTAAACAGCACATAGGCATGGTTAAGG